CTCGGTCAGTGTTCCTATAAGCTTCTGGTCTTGTTTACATGTCGTATAGATGCTTATAACATATCGATTGGGAATTATTGTGAAGAGAATCTCCATGTGCCCCAAAAGTATTGTCATTAATTGTTTTGTTTCCTTAATTTTCTAGTACAAACATGACTATCATCTGATTGGACTCCACCTTCACATAAACGATATTAGGTAAATCAGATTTCCTTTCTTTAAAAAATTCCCTCAAAAATTGAAGTTCATTGTTAGGGGTGCCTGTGGCTCTATTTTCAGGTCCAGATCCAGGGCAGCATACCTCATCATGACAACCTTCGTGAAATGAAGTTGGAACTTTTGAAGAGACATCACAGACCAGTCAGTAAAGATGACAATGGTTTCAGCTCTTCAATGGATTCTTTCACTATCAAGTTGGTAGTGATGCATGGACTTATCTCTCACTTTTTTCCCCTCTTCCTGTTCCTTTGCCTACATGATGGTCTTTATCCCTTGCATCTAGTGGCACTTTGTGAAGTCACCAAATATTCTGTTTTTTGTGTTTATATATTGTGCACTTGTTCACTTAAATCACTACTGGCAAAGTCTTTGTGAGCTTAAGTAGTTTACTGGTTAGTTGCTCTATGGCTGTATATAATAATGTTGTTTATTTGGTTTATCCGCATGTTGACATGATATCTTGTGATGAAAAATCTATTTCTGATTAATAATAATCCTGTCACCGCATAGGGAAATCAGGTCTGGTAGTGGAAAAGGGAAAGGAATTCCACAATCACTTCGTGCATTTGCTCGTGTTCAATGTTGCACCTCTCCTCAAGGTGTGTTTCATGTTACCTTGGTGTCATGCATTGTTTGATATGATTCCGAGCTCATTTTACCCTTTTATGACCACATCATTAAATTTTTCTTCATTGTTTCTTGGTATTCAGAACTTAGTGACCTGGTCGAGGAAGCTGCACAACATGATGGACGATTGGCTCGGCGTCCTTTAACGAACAACTGCAGAGAGATTAAAGCCCATCAGATGTTGATATCAACATTAACCCAATTAGCTGAGGATTATGATGCATCTGTTAAGGTAGAGATGCTAATTTTTCAGCCCTTTCTTTCTCTGATTCTTTTGCCGAATGTGCCTAATCTAAGTCCAACAAGAGTTCATTATTTTTTGTTATAATGCATTATTTCACGCGACAGTACACCAATTACAAATGTTGCTTAAATTTGTTTGCTTATCTCCAACAGAGGTATGTTGAATCAGCTGCATATTGTAACATATTTGCCTCATAGGCATTTGGGCAGCAGTAATAAACATATAAAGAGGGTGGAATAACTTATGCTCATCTTTGATTTACGTATGCACATCTGAATACACATGTAGTAACTCGTTTTTGTGCTTTTTGAGTGCATGCATAGTCTTTGGGGCCGGTGAGTTCTCCTGTTACGTGTGAAAGACTTTCTCACCGGAGGCAAATGGCTCAGGATCTCCTTAGTGGCGAGCTTCGTATCCTCGAATCTGCTTCTGCGTGGCTAAAGAACTACTGCGCAACCTTGATGGCAAGTGACTGCCATAGAGATGGTGTATGTTCTACAAAACTACCAAGGAGCAGAACTGAGAGGGGAGAGATGTAATATAATAGGACTGTATCAGTGAGATCAAACACTGGTACAAGTTGTAGATTCATATCAAACTGTATGCCCCGGGTATATTTGGATTTCCTTGTGAATGTTTTGTTTTCAAGTGTATGATGCTATATTTGTAATTTGATATCCTCTTATTAGATTTAAAATTTATTCGATATTTACACATGTAGTACCCACTTTCTACTTAGTCGGAGGATGTCCGGAGTTGATTTTTTATTTGCGTACAAGCTATAGTCTAAACTATAGGGGATGAAGATTTCTCACACACACACAACTATGATGTCATGGGAATTCGAACTTGAGATCTTTGATCTGCAAGTCAAAGCTCTTTTCCACTAGGCTAGATCCCGTTGGCAAAAACGAGTTTGGAGTTGATAAAACAAAATAATTGCAAGGGGGTCACCAACCAAATCTAAAATTGTAGAACCAATTAGTGAGAGAAACTTTGTGTTCGAAATTAGCAAAAGCATCAGCCACCAAATTCGTTTCTCGGAAAATATTGGTTTTTTCACTATTCGGAAAAAAATAAATTGGTTTCTATTCGATCTATATTAGTAAAGTGGATAAAAGAAAAGAGAAAACAAGAAAAACAAACTGAAGTGAAAGTGAATAAAAAGAGAAAGACGGTGTGAAAACTTTATTTTATTTTCATCTCCAGCAGTCATTGTCTTGTCGGCACTCAGCAGCATGGTTGGACTCGTAAATTTAAACGAATTGAAGGGTTGTTACAAATACTTGTCTTTAAAAATCTTATCCTGCGCTATAAATACAAAGAGAGGAAAACAAGTTCGTTTTGCTGAAAGA